ACACAACAAGGTTAGCGAACATACCACTGCGTCTCTAGAAGAGCCCTTGGCATATGAGAAGCCCTTAGCTTCTCAAGGGGTCGTTCCTAAAATGTCGACTAAGAAAGAGCTGAAAACTTCTATGGAGGAAGAACCCATACAGCGTAGTCGAAATGTAGAACTCAGGAAATGTTTTTTCAAATGTGATAAATGTGCTAAAGCGTTCCCCAGTGAGGAGCAGTTAAACGCTCACAAAGAGGTTGCGAAGACTCGTCCGCACTGCTGCGCTCTTTGCTGTCGCGGTTACTGGACTGAAAACCAGCTTCAACAGCATCTCGCATGGCACAACGAAGTACGCCAACGTCTCCCAACCGAACTGCGATACAGACTGAGTGCTTCCATGGCACCTGGGCCTTCAGACAACCTGCAGGCTTTATCGCACAGATCCGAGTCTGTAGTCAAGCTGCCTGTAGCCCTTGTAAGTCCACAACTCAATAGCCATAAATGTCTGCACTGCGGAAAAACGTTCTTGTCACCTCGTGCTCTGCAGCAGCACCAGACTCTTCACAAAAATGAGGAGCCCTACCATTGTTCTTTGTGTTCACAGACCTTTACTGAAATCAGAAATCTTATTGACCACCATCAGGAGTGCTTGGGTGATAAAGAGCTAAAAGACAGGTACTCTACACCCGTAGTAAGAGGCGCTCTTCACCTAACTTGCATTGAGTGTGGGATTTCCTTCAAACAGGAAACAGAACTGCATCAGCATTATATTGAGCATGCACGTGGGTTCTAAAATGTGTAAAAATGCATGAGAATGGACATTGGTTTCTGGTACATAGTTTACTGCACATACACTGATTTAATTTAGTACTTGATTCATGTTTGTTACTTGCTGTGAGTGTTAGTATACAGTAGAAGAACTGTATGTCTTAAAGAGGAAGAAAAATGCCACAAACATTTTTGCTGAAATTGTAGAGAGAAAGATGTCTGCTAAATTGAAAGCATTATCACGGATGTCCTTTAAACCAAATAGTGTGTTCTAATTACTTACATAAAAGTTGCATAATTCTAGTACTCCCTTCAAAATCGCTTTAGACCTCTGCGAAGTGTTTCAGTGTATTTAGGGGTTTTTAAAGATTTATTTTCTTTCTCTTTTTTTGATTGCTCCGTTTAGTGCCTGTGCTGCTTTCTGTCATCTTGTACTTTGAAAGTGCTGTTAATTTAAACTACAAAGGTGTTTGTTAGATATTTGTTGTACGTGTTATTTAAAAAAGTAGCTTTTTTTGAAGCATTACAGCTTAAATCTTATGTTTGGTCGTGCTAGACATTGATTTGTACAGCATCTGTTCACGCCATTGTCATTGTTCCTTTATTGCTATTGATGTCAGCATAGCATAATCCACCCTTCTGTAACATTTAGGTTTTGGTTTTACTTTAAAAAAAAATTTTCTTCATCTTTCAAGTTATTGAAAAACATTGGGGTTGGGGTTTAATGTGTCTCTCGAAAATGTTGTGACTGTACAGAATATTATTGCCTTGATATAATGCTAAGTTCCTTGTATAAATTCCCTCAAGTCATGTTAATGACATTAAGAATGTATGAATAAGATGCAAACTGGTCAGTAGAGGCAGAGTTATTTGTGTAGGCGTGACATGTAGAATCATAATTAGAATAGCACATCATTTGAACTGAAAAACCCTTAAATTGAACAGTTAATGTTAACATTCCATTTTGTCAAGTCTTGGGTGGCCGGTGATTGTGAAGGTTTATGGTTGGTTTGTTAATAAAAGACCATCCTTTAATTTATTTAAATTGATTCATTTTCAAAAATTGTGAGATTAACCAGGAACATTAAACATTACATGACTTGAATAGGTACAAAATATGCATGCACCCAGATGGAAGAGAAATTCCAAGTAAAAATAATAATAATAATAATTGTGGACTGAAACTTGTTGATGTATCATCAAACTTTGGACCTCAGTATGTTTTTACTTGCACTGAAATTTAAGTTAAACATGGTCATTTGATCTCTCCCAAAATAATATACATGTTGTTTGCTAATAGATACAGTGTGCGCTGTCTTAAAGAGTTTAAACGCTTAAAGAGTTTTAAGACAATCAGTGTCTCACTAACTGGGAGTTGTTTCATGTTACTCTTGGTATGATTGATTGTACTTTCCCAAACCTGCTTCTGTTTGGTTTTCTAATAATTACAGGTTTCCACTTTAATGCTTACCTATGTTTAAAAAAAAACACAATGTAGATATTTGAAATAAGAAATTAAATGGTCAATTTCAATGAAAAACTGTCTTTATTATTTTATCTTGTTAGATAGGCCTTGTTCATGTTGCTATAGTCTGTTTATTCTCCCACTCCCTCTTTAAATACAGTGGTGGTACAGAAGCCGTGAGAATAAACCATTTTGGTGGTACAGTATCTCTGAATGGTATGACATATGTTTGCATTTGTCATGCTATTTGCCCTTGAGGTGGCTTTTCCTTTTCCAGTGACATCACTCATAGAGTGCTATTTTTGTCTGAATGATTTCACTGGAAAACGATACTGATAAATATTAACATGAATAGTTTATTTTACCATGAATAAGAGCAGTTTTATGTATGTGTATTATGCAGTTTGTGATTCTAAACACATCCTACCATAAAAATCATACAATTTTTGAGATGCCAAAATATGCTGTTTGCAAGCAGAACACACTGCATGTCATAGTGTATTTGAGAATGTAATGTACTCGAATTGACTCATTCTGTTTCTAAAACTACCTTTCATGACTTAACCTAACTGACATTTTTACAGTGAAAATTGTAAGTATGAGTAATAGTATAAAAATATGCTATGTTCACACACTGATGGTGAGCGACAGTTGTAATAAGAGTACAATAAATCATGAAACACTGAGTGGACAAAATATTGCAGTAGATATTCATTTTATTTTGGTCTTATTGATATCAATTTATGTGTTACTGACATGACAATTCATTCTCTTTTCTCTAGTGAAACTCTGCAGCAAGAGCTGTCAGGACTGCGGGCAGCAGTTCACTAACTGGAAGGCCTTCAGAATTCATATTCGTGAACGTGAATGAGAAGAGAAAAAGGGATAGACAGGTGGAATCTGTCACTGATGGAAATGACAGTGGTCTGAGATACTTTACAAAAAAGAAAAAAGTGAAAGAAGAAAAAGAAACCGATGAAGATCAATCTATTGATAGTTCTTGTCAGAGAAAACCATCTGAGATGTTCCCCTCCCATCCTGCTTTTGATATGCTGTTAAAGGAAGAAAAGTCAGTGTTTGTGAAGACAGACAGGGTCTATGCCTGTGCTGTCTGTGGAAAGGTCTATTCCTACTTTGAGTCTTTCAGAAATCACCAGAAACTGCACAGAACTAAAGACCAACCGCCTGAAATCCGCTGTGAAAAATGTCAGAAAACTTTCAGTCGTCCAGTCTCTCTCACACTTCATCTGAAACTAAGCAAGCAGTGTGTTCCAGAAGAGCCTTCCGACCTTCACTGTGAAAGGTGTGATAAATCTTTTACCTCTACCGTGGTATTGGCGAGCCATCAGGAAATGCACAAGCAGAGGCCTTTCTGGTGTGATGTATGTGCTAAAGGTTTCAGAAGTTCAGTAGGATTGGAAAGACACTTGCTTGGCCATGAAAACAAAAAACACACCTGCGATATCTGCCAGAAGTCCTTTCGGGTAGCAGCAGAACTGCGGTACCATTACAACATTCACACTGGTGCCAAGCCTTACACGTGCGATCTTTGCCACAAGAGCTTCTCGCAAATGGGAAATCTAATTACCCATCGGAAAAAAACACCTGGAGGTCTTTAAAGAAGGAGAGGATGTTCCCCTCGGGAAAAGGGACGCTGGTTTAAGAGGAAAGAATCGAGTGTCAGTTATGAAGAAAGTTGTTTTAGGAGCAAATAGTGTTTTTGGTCAGGAAGAAGTAATGAAGAAGGATCCAAACGAAAACTGTGAAGAGAAACATGTTGATGTCAATGACGCCACCTTACCTGAGAGCGATTCACCTGACACTAGTGACTCATCAGACATCTCATCAGATGAACCACAAAAATGTTTAAAAGAAGAACAGGAAGAGACTTTGCAAGTTCAGGAAGTTGATGGTGACTGGGAGTGTATTGAATGCGGTGCACATTTCACTGGGGAGTCTGAGCTTCACATGCATTATATGAAGCATGCAAGTGGGGAAGTTTGATACACAGTATGCTTATTATTAAACTGGCATTTTGACTTACTCTTTTCTCAATAAATGAATGTCTCAATGACCAAAGTCAGCCTAGTTGACACGCAATACTATTAGACTTTAAAATGCATTATATATGATTTATTTTGTCTCTGTGAGTTAATTTTTGGAGGCTTGGATGATGTTAATTACATCACCAGATTGCCTGGTTTGCTTTTGGACACCTTGTACTTCACTGCTTAACATTCAAACGTTGTATTTTAGATACACCTTTATCTGAGAGGCCTTAATTTATTAAGAAATGGAATTTGACGCTAATACCAATCACTGCTTTAAACTAGCTGTTTATGCCCTTGACATGTTCATGTCAGTTTCTTTCTTGGTTGGTTGAGGTTTGTATATTGTTTGTTACAGAATATAGTTTATTGCTTTTAAGATTTGAATTGTTACTTGTTGCTGGTTTGACTTGTCAAGCTGTTCTTTGTGTGTTGAGTCAATGCATGATCAATACACCATGTGCTATTAAACAGTTAAGTAAACAATAACTGGCTGCCTGTAAGTTGTGCTTTACTAAAAAGTACAAGTTTTTTGTTTTTATTAAAGCTTTGTACTCTCATACGTGTACACTACCTTGGATTTATCATGCTCATGGAGAACAGTGTGATAAGAACTGTTGTCCCAGGTGCATTTTTTCTCTTCTGAATCATTTTCCATGATCTTATTGGTTGTTCCGTAGTTATTGTGTGAAATCAATCACTTAAAAATATGAATTCTATTCTTGAACTGTGCAGAAGTTTGCTCTCTAAAGTTTTGTGGATGTGAATACTCTTCTCCACAGCAATGAAGAATATTGTGTTTGCTTTGCTGGTTGTGGCTGTGGGTATGTAGATCTTTCTTATTAATCATTATGCCAATTGTTAATTTCCTACACTGACCTGTAATATTCCTTAGTCTTTAACATGAATAAGAGACATGTTTACAAGATGAAACTGCAAATATTACAAAGAAACACCAGCTCAAGTAATCAAAGCCAATTATATTGTGATTTCCTTTGCTTTATCTTGGGCACTGTTAACAATTAAACATTCATTTTCTGAAGCTTGCAGCGCAGATGATAAAATCATTGGAGGTTATGAATGTTCGCCAAACTCCCAGCCCTGGCAAATCTACCTTACTTATGATAATGGGCAATGCTGGTGTGGAGCATCTCTGATTAATGAAAGATGGGTTGTTTCTGCTGCTCACTGCTACGTTTCGCGAGTATATCGTACATTTTTATTATGGTAAACCTCATCAAACACCTTTTTAATATTGTGTATTGTGAATGTGTGCACTCAAATTGTTGACTGTAAAATGTAACAGCTGCAGGACCTCTAAATTAAAGGCTATGAACAAGAACGTTACACATTTCATTAAAGATGAGTGCATTAACCAATCATTTGAGACTCTCATCCATAGATGTAATATGTATATGGGCAATATTGCTGATAAAAAATGTACTACAGCCCAGTAATGCATAAGTTCCTTGTCAAATAGAGCTTCTCGTCTTACTGTCCACCTGGGAGAGCACAATGTGTACGATGAAGAAGGCACAGAGCAGCGGATCGGGGCAGAGAAAGTGATTCCTCACCCAAAATATAACGATTTTACATATGACAATGATTTCATGCTGATCAAGCTGAAAGAGCCTGCCGTCTTCAACCAGTATGTGCAGCCAATTCCTCTGGCGACCAGCTGCTCTTTTGCTGGGGAGCAGTGCTTGGTTTCTGGATGGGGCAATCAGATCACCACTGGAGGTGAGATAATGGAGGCCGAGTAATGAAAATCTTCTGTGTTATAAAACAGTTAGTTCAGTCTTCAAATCTGATTGATTGAGCAGCAAGATGTAATAAATCTCCCCCATATCCTAAAATAGTGTACTATTGTATGATAGCAATGTCAGATACAGAGTATGGTTTCATCCAGTCAGAGGATATCAAACATGTTTGAGCCATCTTTAAAACACATTGAATTGGTCATGCATCTCCTAGCAAACAAGACACACATTTCTGTGTAAGTGTTTAGAACAATTTGAAAATCTAATAGTGTGTGTGAGATCCTCCATTGTTTTGAATGATGGCTAGAGTTTTAAAATCTGTCCCGATTTTAAGTTGTGTAGTGCATTCTAGCCTGGACTGTTTTTTTGAGTGAGTCATTTGAACCATTCACTAAACACATTACTTCTAAGACGATTACTTCCTTCAGGAACCAAACACAACTACTGTTTATTGCTCCAACACGCTAATTTTGACAGTCACACAACAGATAATCATTTGGTGGCTGTTTTAATACATTTTCGCTTCAATAAAGCATCTAATATGTACATTTGTCAGTAATGAACTGTTATATAAAAGCCTTCTTTTACGAGTACCACTGCTTGTATTTAATATGATGTGCTATTAAAAGATTAATTCAACAGTTTGGTATGTACAAGGTGCAAAGCTTTAACGTTGTTCATATCCTCTTTTTCCAGTTGACTATGCTGACAAGCTGCAGTGTTTGGATTTCCCTGTGCTGTCAAGGTCACAGTGTGAGAGTGCGTATGGATGGCAAATCACTAATAACATGTTCTGTGCTGGATTCATGGAGGGAGGCAAAGACTCATGTCAGGTATGTTATTGACACTGTCGTTGTCTTTATATGCGTTATATATTCTCATACAAAACCACACTTATCTAATTTTATTTTCCAAAATTTCAAAGGGTGATTCTGGCGGCCCTGTAGTGTGTAATGGGGAACTGCGAGGAGTTGTTTCTTGGGGCTATGGCTGTGCTCAACAAGGCTATCCTGGGGTTTATGCTGAGGTGTGCCGCTACACTAACTGGGTCCAGTCCACCATAGCTAACAATTAACTATTTGTTCAGCCAAGTTGGACCTTTGTCTGTAATTAAATTCAGCTTGAAATCAATAAAGGTTTTCTATTCTTCGTTTTATATGGATATAGTATTTTAAAAGGTTTTTCTACTCATGCTTGCTCTCAGCACAACATTTCATGGCACTTGGGGCTACACTTTCAGGCTATATTGTAGAGATACAAGTCCTGTAGCCATTATAAGTCCACAACTTGACAGCCATAATAGTCAGCACTCTGATAAATCCTTCTTGTCACTGCATTACAGCAGCAACTGAGGGAGTCACATGGCTGTTCTTTGTGTTCACAATCATCAGACATTGGTGGCTCTGTCTCATCAGACTCCACATCAGATTAAGATCAAGA